AGGGGTTTTGTTTACAATGTATTCATTTATTTGAAAGGCAGAACGACAGAGGGACAGACAGAGAGATCTTCTATCCTCTGGTTTACTCTGCAAAAGGCCTCATCAGCCAGGTCTGGGACAGGCCAAAACCAAGAGCCCAGAACTCAATCTGGGTCTCCCATGTGGACAGCAAGGGCTCAAGAGCTTGGGCCACCTTCCACGGCCTTCCCAGGAGCACAGCAGGGAGCTGCATTGGAAGTGGAGGAGCCGAGACCCACGGCGCCACACTGCCAGCCCCTTTCTGTCTCCTGGAAGGAGTAACCTCCACCAGGCTTTTGCAGCTGTCACTCCCCAGCACTGTCCTTGACACTTTCTTACGTTCTGCGTGTTCTCACCTGACTCCTAAACCTTTTAGCCTCGTCGTGCCCTCACTGCTGAGACCCACGTGGACGTTCGCACCTGCACACTTGCTTAGATGTTCTACAAACTGGTTGGTCCAGGGCCAGCAGCAGCATCTGACAGCTTGTCTGAAATTCAGGTTCTTTGGCCCCATTCCAGATCCACTGAGTGCCAATCTGCATTTTTAATAAAAAGCCTAGGCGGTCTGAGCGCACGTTCAAGTGTGAGCAGCTCTGGCCTGCACAATGCTGAGCACCGAGAAGGCACCCAGCAAACGACAGCTCTGTTATTACCACCACCTCCTTCCCTCCATCCTCACCAAAAGGCCTCTTGGTCATGCTCTCCCTACTGTAGTTAAATGACATCATCAACCCAAACCCCAAGCTGCAAACCTCAGAGGCTCACAACTGCCTCCTGGCCCTGACTGCCCATCTCTGGAATGATTCCGGAGTGCTGCTCCTCTCACTTCACAAGCATCTCCCGGGCTGGACCCTCCTCCCTCAGCCCCGTGGCACCCTCTCGGGGAGCTGTGCGAGCTTTGTTTACCTGTCTCCCGGCTAGACTGCGAGGTGTGGGAAAAGGGCTGTTTCATCCATTTCTGATTCCCCAAGCCAGCACACTGTCTGACACATGAATTGCCAAAAGTTCAACCGAATGAATGCACAGGCAGACAGGTGGGGGTGAGGTGGCAGCGCTAAATTCCGAAGGTGCATCAGATGACAGGATTCGAAAGGGAAGGCAAAAATCAGGCAGTATTTTTTTTTTCTCAGTTTTATAAAATTGTCCCAGGAATAAAGCTACTAAGTGGGGAGAAAAAAAAATCCAATGTGGCACATATGTAAAAATGGTGGCGGTGGGGATTTTTAATGAACGTATTTCAAGGCTTTTTCCCACCCTACAAGTTACACCCCATTCCCTTGCAGTACCAAGTTCATGGGCACCTCCTGGGTCGGGGACTGAGCTGGGTGGAGTTTACAAGCACCTCTGCGCAGTCAGTGGTCTGGAGGGTTATAAGGTGGGTGGGGAACGATAAGAGTGCTAAAGATGAGCCGCCTGCCTAGGAGGGGCAGGAATGCCCCAGAAGGAAGAGCACAGGCAAGAGCTGAGAGGTAGGGGCCACGAGGGGCCAGCGCGCCCACATTCCACAACCTCCACAGGGAGAACTCACTCATGACTGGGCTGGCAGAGCATCAGCAAAGGAGGCAAAAGGCACACGGGGCCAGCAGTGACCTGGGGCACCTTTGTTCTAGGATTCCAGGCTCTGGACAAACCCATCTACAACACCCAGTAATACAAACAGTTCTAGGCGAGGTTTAAGGGCCAAGGTTCAAATCCCAGGGGCCTCTGAGTAGCCTGCTGGGCTAGAACAGCTCGCCCACTCCACCGTCTCCTTCAGGCAGACCTCTGCTCACATGGTCTCGCGTGTGGCATGCACCTCCCTGAACAGCTAATGCAAACCGCCTCGGCCTAGGAGGCGGAAGCAGCAGGGTGGCTCTCATGGCCCGTTCCTGAGTTCTGGGGTCAGCTCAGCCCTGGCCCCTAGAGGGAAGGAGGGGATTCAGGACTTACTTTAATGAGTTCAGCTGGGTAAACTCCTGGTGGCCAAAGATCACTGGCAGAGAAACTGAGGCACAAGGAAGGGAAACCAAGCACCACACTCAAGGCCCCAAACTTGGCTCCTGGGCCCTTGGCCATGAGTCGTCGCAAGAGCTCCTCCTGTCTCTCCTGGTGCAGCAGGAAACACCCAGCCCCTGATAACTAACCACATTTCTCTGCATCCCTCATCCGCTGCTCAAAACTGGAACACTTCTAGAACAGGGTTAATTCTCTCCCCAGGCAGGCAGGTCATTCCTTCATTCACTTTCTCATTCAGTGATGTGTTACGGAGGTCTCACTTTCCAACTATCACCACCCTAGGGGCTAGAGCTGGGTGGAGAACCAAACAAGAGCCCTGCCCTTTGAAACTTACATTCTCTCGGGAGGAGGCAGCCAGCCACCACCACCACAGTAACACAGAGATGTGACAGAGTGCCATGTGCCAGGAGACAGAAAAGCTAGCACAGGGTAAGGGAGCCGGGGAGGCTCAGGGTGGGACAGGGGTGCGGTTCCCCACACGCAAGGCCTTGCTGCAAAGACCAGGCTCCCGGGGACACAAGGAAGGAAGAAAGCAGGCCCTTCGGGCTTCTGGGGTAGAACATTCCAACTGAGGGAAGAGCCAGGGCAAAGGCCCCGGGATGGGAGCGTCCCAGTGTGCTCAAGGAACAAACAGCACGGAGGCCTGCCAAAGAGTCATCCAGTCATTCATCTGCTCGCCATTTCCGGAAGACCCATCTCTCCGCCTGGCACTGGGTGGTGAAAACACGAATAAGGCCTGGGCCCCAAAGGAGCTGATAGAGGGTGAAGGGTCCAGGAGAGACCCTCCGAGGACGCTGGGCTCTGCTCTGGGGGCTGCTAACCACACTGGCTGTGCTGCAGATCCTCAGGCTCACTTGTTTTTCTTAGCTAAAAAAGAAGCCTCCCAAACACTAGACATGTAAAGAGAATCTTTTAAGCTGCAGAAGCAGAGGAGTGCTCTACCATGCCCTGGGTGGCCTCAAACTAAAGAAGTAGATGCCAGATGGAAGGCTATGGGAAAGGCCACACCGGGGAGGGTGGCGATGGACGAAGCTGGGATGAAGCTGGGTTTTCTGAGCCCCCCGCCCCCTGCCCAACCAGGAAGTGAGAGCATGAGGCCCTAGGGCCTGTTCATGGGGGGTGGCAATCACACCTGTGCCAGCTTTTACCAAACCTTCCCAGCACCTCCTCCGGGGCTTGGCCTCGGGCTCCAGGCCTCTGTTAAGGAGACTAAACTGCAAATCTGGAGAGGTCAGCCCAGCAGTGCTCCAGCCCAGGTGATGTCAGCTCTATTTTCCCAGCATAATGAAAGTGTACTTCTTCACCAGTCAGAGCGCAGAGATGGCCCTGCCAAGACCCAGGAAACTCCCACACAAGAGGTTTTATCCTTGCTGATCAGGGGCTAGAAAGCCCGGCCAGGCCAATCCCTACTGGCTGGATCCAGATCTCCAGGGGGAGGTACGTTGTGTGTATCACCAGCAAGACCCAAAGACCACAGCGGGAACCCAGAGGCTACTGGGGGTGGGGCACAGACCCTCACTCTGCCTCCCTCCGTACCTGGAAGAAACAGATTCCTGGGTCTGTGCATACAAAGCTCCCCTAGAACCTGTGTCCCCCCAGTCCTTAGGGGTGGGGGCTGTCTCCCATTCGCACATACACGGCTCCCCTTGGCCTCAGCTCTGATGTGGAGAGTCGGCCTGTGAAACTTTAAAACGGAGGGTGCCAACTCATCATCCTAGCCTTGTCCCTTGCTCCTGGACCTGAACATCTTCTCAGACCAAACCTGGCCAAGCCAGCCCCTTCCTCCCCGGCCTGCTCCAAGCTGCCTGCCACTCTCTGCTCCCAGCCCCAGGCCCCGCCTGGTGGATGGCCTCGGCCAGTAGCTCTACCCCAGGGGAAGAAGGCTTGGCAGGCCTTCAAAAAGCCGGGTCCCCAGGTTTGCCATGAACTCCCCCATTCTTTTCTAAAGCGCTTCCCTCTCTGCCTCCCACTTCCTAGGGCCAAGGGGTTTCTGACTCCATAATTGGCTTGTTTACGGCCACTCCGAGGGTTTCTGAGTGGCAGGGGTGGGAGGAAAGTTGCTGGGAGTAAGGAAAGGGGTGTGTGCCTTGAGCTCTGAGGCTGGTGAGTAAACTCTCCCAGAGCCTCTCTAACTACCTGAGAACTGGCCAAGAACCCATGCGAGAAAAAAAAAAAAAAAACAAAAACACCAGGCAATGCAGGGCCGGCTGAGGATTCCCAACACACCACAGCAGGCAAGCTTATGTTTGGCGCCTGGGAGAGACAGAACAATAACCCAAGCTTAATCTGTGAGCTTCTACTGAATGGCAGAAAGCATTACTTGGCATTCCGAGCAGGGAGCCAACTCGAGACCTCCCGATTCAGCTTCTGTGGGCCAGGTACCTCAGTGACGTCATGCCCCTGCCATAGCTCCAGGCTCAGGACAAACTCAGTGTCCACACGCGCCCCCAGGTATGCCAGCCTGCCCCTCCATGACATGGATCTGATCATTGATCAGCTCATGGGAACAGCCCACCTGGGCCACCAGCACGCCCTCTGCTTCTCCATCTGAGTTCTCTGCCTTCTTCTTCTTCTTCTCCATCGTTCTCGGCTCCCTCCCCCCACCCCGTGATGGTTTCTCCAGTTCCCCGAGCCTTCCCCACCCTACTGCACGCCACACTCTAACTCTCCAGCACCCTGGTGCTGGCCTCTTTTCAGGCACTTGCCTTATTCTGTTCTGCTCCAATAGCTCCCCAGGGCCTCACTCTACTCCTCCAAGCAAGCAAGCGTGTCTTTATTCAGCTCTGATCCATCCAAAGCAGAAAGCCCAGTACCCGGCAGGCAGCCGACACTTAAGAACTGTTTGCACCGTGTCCAATGCCGCTCACCTCAGGGGCACGGACATGACAAGCAGAGGGACACGGAGAACGAAGACCAGCAGGCACAAAGCATCCTAGACAGGAGGCATCTCAGGGAAGCGTGGCCGAGGTCGCCACGTCCATGCTTACCCTTCTTGAACTCCTCCAGCATGGCATCCAGTTTGGTGTCGTGGAAGACAAAGTGTACCGGGTGGTTGTAGAAGCGGGTGATGGTCTTCAGCGGGGTGCAGTCATCGGGGTCCACAAAGGCCAAGTCCTTGACATAGAGAATATCGACGATGTTGGACTGCTCGTCTTCGAAGACGGGGATGCGGGTGTAGCCGCTCTCCATGATCTCGGACATGGTGTTGAAGTCCAGGATGGCGTCGCTGCGGATCATGAAGCAGTCCTGCAGCTGCGTCATGATGTCCTCCACGGTTTTGGTCCGCAGCTCCAGGGCTCCCTGGATCATATTGAGCTCCTCCTTTACGAGGTCGTTATAGGGCTCGGTCACCTTCAACATCTCCATCAGCTTCTCCCGGTTGTAAACGGTGCGAATCTCCTGGCCCAGAAAGAAGTCCAGGAGTTTGCTGATGGGGAAACTGAGCGGGAAGGTGAGCAGCATGAAGAACTTGGTGAGCACGATGGTGTTGGCACCCACGGCCAGCCCGTGGCGCGAGCACAGGGCCTGAGGGACGATCTCCCCAAAGATGACGATGCCGATGGTGGAGGAGGCCACAGCCATGATGCCGGACCCGATGAGGTTGTCTAGGAGGATGGTGAGGGAGGTGTTGACCAGGACATTCCCCAGGAGCAGCGAGCACAGCAGGTAGTTGCCCTTGCACCGGATGGGCAAAATCTTGCGGGCGTAGCGCTTTTCCTTCTCTGTGCCACAGTTCTGCACAATGCGCAACTCCATGGGGTCCAGGGCCATCAGCCCCAGGTTGAGGCCCGAAAATATACCCGACAGCACGAGCAGCACCGTAATCAGCAGGATGTGCAGCCAGAGCGGCAGGAACCTGCCAGTCTCCTCCACCATGAAAAGCAGCGAGTCCTTGTCCGTCCACTTGACCCAGGGCTCATCGGCGCGGGCCCGGGTGCACAGCGCATACAGCTTGACGTTCTCGCTCCTGCGAAGGAACTTGGTGAGCACCACCAGCATCCCGGACGTGTTCCCGCGGCTCACGTTCACCAGCTTTTGGACGACCAGGTCCTTGGTGAGCTCTAGGCAGTTGGTGGAGTTGTGGGCGGTCTCGGCGTCGTCCACCTCCGTGAAGGAGATCAGGTTGCTGGAGATGTCGCCCAGGCGCTGGCCGTACAGCCTCAGGTTCACCGTGCTGCCCTCGGACACGAAGATGATGCCATCCGGGTTCATCCCACACGACTTGTTGCAGCTCGCCAGCCTCATGCCCACGATCTTGCCCCGCTGCGGGGTGCCCTGGCCCCGGGCCCCCCGCGCCCACAGCAGCACCGGCAGCACCAGCGCCGCCAGGAGGAGGCGCCCTCGGGCTGGCCCGCCGCCCGGGCGCCCGCCCCCGCCCACCGGCGCCATGTTGCTCCGGCTCTGCCTCCGCCGCCGCTCCCCGCGCCCCGCCGCGCGGCCCCGCTCGGCGCCGCCGCTCCTGCCGCTCCGCCGCCGCCGAGCCAACTGCCCGGGCCGCGGGCCTGACGTCAGGTCAGCGCCCCGCCCGCCCCGCCCCGCCGGCCCACGCCCCTCATTTGCATGCGAGGGCCCGCCCCCAGAGAGCGCGCGCCCCGAGCGCCGGCCCTTAAGGGGGTCCCGGCCCTTAAGGTGGAGCGGCGTGGGAGCGCGGGAGCCGCCGGCAGGCGTGCGCCCCGCCCTCCGCCTCCACGCCCTTCCGCGCCTTTCCCCGCCTTTCTCTCCCGGCCTCGCGTGCTCGGCTGCTTCCAGATCCCCGGCGGTCTGCAGCTCAGCCCGGGGTCGGCGGCCTTTCTCCGCTGGCACGGCGAGGGTGGGAGGAAAATGCATTTCCTGATTTAGAAAAAGGGAACCGGAGGGCTCACCCCTTGGAGTCTTTGCTGACCCCCTCCCTCCGGGGGCTTTTGCTGACCTTGTGCCAAGACCAGAAATAAAGCCCCCTCCCTCAGCCCCGTCCCGCCCCAGCGCATGCTTCTATTGGCCAGGGGGGCGGGGAGGAGCCTGCAAATTGGGGAACTGTGGAGAAAGAAGGGCCAGGCCTTGGCCTTGGCTTATCTCCGGTCATCTCCATTTAGGTGCGGGCAGATACTGAGCCGTTCCCACAGCTCAGGCACGTGTTCTAGGCTCGTAGCAGTGACCGGCAATAAACAGGTAAACCCTAAGGGGTGGATAGGGGTTATTTCCATTTTACAGATGCTGACATGGAGCCTCGGAGGCACAAATCCGGTTCTGCCCGGATTGTGGTCTCAGCCCCTGTCTGCACCTGTACTACAGCTTCCTGAGCTGGTGGGAACAGAACAGTGCAGCTCTGGGAATATCCCGCCTGTGTAGCAGCAGTAGCTGCTGCCGCCGGCCCTTCCCGGGACCAGATTCAGCGACTGGCCAGCTGGGGCAGCTGCATGTGGAAATGCGCTGGGCAGCAGGCCTGGCTTCCTGGACAGTCCTGCCCCCGTGTCAGTCGGAGATTATAAATTGTCCCCCAAACCCTGGGGGGGGGGGGGGGGGGGGAGGCTGCAGCTGCTCACCCTTGGAGGGGGAAGCAGACAGACCTCCTTACCATAGCTGCAGAGAGGTGAGGCGAGCCCTGGGTCTTGGAGCCGTCTTTTCCCAGCTCAGGACAGATAGGCATCACTCTCTCCCTGCACCAGTTCTTCTGTTTATTTTTATTTTGGTGCACTGTGCACCAATAAAAGTAACAATCAATAGCAGCCAGAAAGAGCCTGAACAGAGGGAAACAATGAGTGTTGTAGGAGGAGGCGTGGCTACAGAGAGACCTGATTTGGGAAAGCAGTTAGCAGGGGCTGAGGGTTCTGGAAGCAGGGCCAGCCTGAAGTCCCTTGCAAGGAGCCGCCTCAATCCATTTTCCACCGTGTGCCCGCAGGCCAGGTTCTTCAGAGAACAAGAACCTTGGGGTAGGCACTGGCCAAGACAGAACCCCGACAAGCTGTTCCCTCTCTCTCTCCACCAACCAGGAAGCGCCACTTGCATTGGCCCCACTGCAACCATGGCTCTTAGAAAGACTTCCGCCCAGCCCACCTCATCCCTTCCAGCCTGGCTGCCTTCCCTCCTCCATACTTCAAAACTTTCCCATTCTATTATCGACCAAATTTTGGCTATTTTTACCCTGCCGTTTTCATGCTGTCCGCTCTCAGAAGCTCGGTAGGTACACACAATGCAGAAGGCAGCAAACAGAAGGAAAAATGGGCTCTGAGTGTGAGAACAATGGTGAGGGTCTAATAGGAAAAAAAGAAAAAAAGCAGCCTCTGGTACAGGTCAGTTCATCACATCATGATTAGGTGAATAGAGCAGGCTCAGTAAAGAAGTGAAATTCCCCTTTGTTCTCCCAGGGCTGCCATCTTGGGGGGTAGGGGGGTGGGGGAGGATTCAAATCCGGGAGAGACAATGTAATTCGAGACGTGTCAGGAGACGCTAGGGGTGCAGGCCGGAGTCCAGCTTGGGTCTCTGCTTGCATCCCTGGTGAAGGGATCAAACCTTTGCTCACCTTTCCACGCCTGCCACATGAAGCACCTCTCCCACAGAGTTGTGGGGACACCACGGGGACCGGGCAGCTGTTAAAATGCAGAGGTGGGAAGCCCTGATGCAGGTGTGGCTATGGGAATGGCAGAAACAAACGTCCAAGCAGGGGCCGCCGCGCTGTGGCTCACTAGGTTAATCCTCTGCCTGCGGTGCTGGCATCCCATTTCGGCGCCAGGTTCTAGTCCCGGTTGCTCCTCTTCCAGTCTAGCTCTCTGCTGTGGCCTGGGATAGCAGAGGAGGATGGCCCAAGTGCTTGGGCCCCTGCACCCACATGGGAGACCAGGAGGAGACTCCTGGCTCCTGGCTTCAGATCGGCATAGCTCTGGCCCTAGCGGCCATTTAGGGGGTGAACCAACGGAAGGAAAACCTTTCTCTCTGTCTCTCTCTCTCTCTCACTGTCTGTAAACTCTACCTGTCAAATAATAATAAAAATAAAAATAATAAAACATGCAAGTGGAAAGCCTGTCTCCGAGGGGACAGGTGAGTTCATTGGATGATGCCTTGACTCAGTTTCCAGCCCACATCATCTTAGCAGGTGGGGACGAAAGGCCCTAGGTGTAGGGTGTCAGGACTCCCATCTGAGACACAGGCTTTGTTGAGGAGACAAAGACATCAGATTAAGGGGTCCAGGCCAATGGAAAGCATGTGCCTCTGGGAGAGGGTCGAATACTAGGGGGTGTGGCACCAGTGAGGGGAGTTTTTGTTTTGTTTTGTTTTGTTTTGTTTTTACTTGAAAGTCAGAGATTTTGAGAAAGAGAGATGGAGAGTGAGAGAGAGAGTGAAAGCTGTTCTATCCGCTGGTCCACTTCCCAGATGGCTGCAGTAGCCAGCGCTGGGGCGATCTGAAGCCAAGAACAGGAGCTTCTTTTAGGCCTCCTATGTGGGTGCAGGGGCTCAAGCACTTGTGCTATCCTCTGCTGCTCTCCCAGGTACCCTAGCAGGGAGCTGGATCAGAAATGGAGCAGCCAGGACTCAAACCGGTGCCCATATGGGATGCCAGCTGTGCCCTAGCACCAGCCCCCAGGAGAGTCTGTCTGCATTTGGAAGGCAGGCAGAAGGACCCACAATGGGGGTGCAGAGCACAGCTCTGAAGGTACCTGGTGGGGAGCTGGCTTGGCCGCTGCCTGCCCATGTGCCCTGGGCACTGGGACATTCTCTGGGTATTGTGCTAGAGGATGCATGGTAAATAATTCATAAATGCCAGCCCAGGTAAGTGCTCAATGAACACACTCAGTGACCACGATGACGATGGAAATGATGCAGCCAGGGCTTCTAGAGGACACTCGCCCTCTTCCTGGGCTCCAGTGTGTCTCCAGCCTGCAGCAGCCACAGTCTCCTTGCTCTCTTTCCCTTCCCTTTCGCGCTTCGGTAGAAGATGAAGTGACGATCACCTAGGACTAAGCGAGACCCCATGGAGAACCTTGGGCCTCCCCGGGAGGGAGGAAAGGAGCCCTGGGGGGAGTGAAGCTGGGTGGCAAGAACTTGCATGGGACTGCGAGGCACAGAGGGCAGCAGGCTGGAAAGGCCAGGAATCCAGGGAGAGAGGAAGCTTCTGACTCCGCATCTGACGGATCCGACAGCCCCTTGTCACGGAAGTCCCTGCTGGTACCAGGCTCCGGGGAGGAGCCCCAGACAGCACCGTGTCTGAGAGGGGCCGGGCAGATCCCAGGATTCAGCACAGGCACACACACACACACACACACACACACTGTGTGCTGAGCACTCTCTGTCCCCAAGGCAGGCTACCACAGCAACTTTCCCAAAAAATACAAAGACCCCCCTCTTGAATTTTTCATTTTATTTGAAAGGCACAGAGCCAGAGAGACTGGAGACAGATAGGGATCTCCCATTCGCTGATTCACTGCTCTGCTATCTGCAGCAGCTGAGGCTGGGCCAGCCTAAAGCCAGGAGCCCAGAACTCAATCCGGGTCTCTCATATGGGTGCCAGGGACCTAAGTCCTTGAGCCATCATCTGCTGCCACCCAGGGGTTCCTGGACAGCGGAGCAGAGCCTCAAAGCAGGCACTCTGGTCTGGGATGCAGGCTCTCAACTGCTGTGACCTGGAGCTCCATCCTAAGTGGGGCAGCTGGCATTGCAGGCAGGAGGTTAACCTGTCCCTAAAGAATATAATTTTAATTGTACATACCTGTGTGGGTACCATGTGATGCACTGATGATGCGTGTATACAGTGTGTAATGATCACAAATACCCTTATTTAAGAAATAACTTCATCAGTCAAGAAGAGCAAGGGAGAGTAAAATAGCAAATACGGAGCATTTACAAAGGTTGACGAAAAATGTACTTGGAGCCCTTGTCCTCGTTTTCTGACCCTTTCCTGAGCTGGCAAGTGGAAAAAGGCTACAGCAGAAATGTCAAAGGCCCTATCCCTTGTTAGCAAAAATGAACCGGGGCAAAGCACTCTGCCTCACAGGGCTTGGTTTCCCCATTTTTAATATGTAGATCAAGAGACCTTTCCAGCTGTATCGAAAGAGATAAATGAGCCAGTGGTTGAAGCACGGCTCCATAAATATTAGTTTTCTGGGCCGGCATTGTGGTGTAGCAGGTTAAGCCACTGCTTGTAATACCAGCATCCTGTATGGGTACCAGGTCGAGTCCTGGCTGCTGCACTTCTGTTTCAGCTCCCTGCTAATGAACTTGGGAAAAGCAGTAGAAGATGGCCCAAGTACTTGGGCCCCTGCACCCACACGGGAGATCGACAGAGCTCCTGGCCTCAGCCCGGCCCAGCCCGGGCCATTGCAGGCATTTGGGGATTTCTCTTTTTGTCTCTCCCTCTCTCTGTGTGTGATTCTGCCTTTCAAATAAATAAATATTTAAAATAAATAAATATGAATTTTCTTCTCTCAGGCTAGGATTTTCACATTATATTTCATTCATCTAATCATTCATGCGTTTTTATATGTTTTACTAGGATTCTAACATTGCTAAACTGAGGCCAGTTGCAGTGTTGTGGTACGGTGAGTCAAGCCACCACCTCCAATGCTGGCATCCCATCTCCTAGTGCTGTTTCAAGTTCTGCCTACCCTGCTTCCCATCCAGCTTCCAGCTAACGTGCCTGGGAAAGTACCAGAAGATGGCCTAATTACTTGGGCCCCTGCCATGTACATGGGAGAGCCTGATGGAGCTCCAGACTCCTGGCTTCAGCCTGGCCCAGGCCTGACTGTTGTGGTCATTTGGGGGGTGAGACAATGGATGGAAGATCTCTCTCTGTCTCTCCCTCTCTCTGTAACTCTGCCTTTCAAATAAATAATAAAATCTTTAAGACAGAATTGCTAAATTACATATATTTGGCACAACAAGCTTGTATAATACAGAATGTATCAAATAGAAAATGTGCATCTCCATTGTGTTTTCTGTGAAATATTTTGCCACCTGCCATCTGCCCTCTTCATTGCTTCCTCTACCTCCCTCTGGGCTGGAGACTGTCTTCCACTGGGTTGAGGGTCCCTCAAGGGCAAAATCCGTGTCATAGTTGTCCATAGCAGAGGGCTCAGAATTCCAGACCCATTTGTGAAATTGGACCAGCACCGTGGCTCACTTGGTTAATCCTCTGCTTGCGGTGCCGGCATCCCATATGGGTACCTGGTTCTAGTCCTGGTTGCCCCTCTTCCAGTGCAGCTCTCTGCTGTGGCCTGGGATAGCAGTGGAGGATGGCCCAAGTGCTTGGGCCCTGCACCCCATGGGAGACCAGGAGAAGCACCTGGCTCCTGGCTTCAGATCAGCATAGCTCCGGCCGTAGCAGCCATTGAGGGTGGTGAACCAACGGAAGGAAGACCTTTCTGTCTCTCCCTCTCACTGTCTAACTCTATCTGTCAAAAGAAAAAAAAAAAAGAAAAAAGAAAAAGAAAGAAACTGGACCTCCTACTGCTGAGGGGGGTTGAAAGGAGGAGGAAGCACTGAGCCAGAGGCTTTAGATACAAAACAACAGCTCTGCTGCCCAAGGCTCTATTTACACACTGATATAATTTCTGCTCATTTCTTTAAAAACAAAAATATGGGTGTTAATTCAGCGACAGCTCTGGATTGATCCACCAATTGAGAGGCAATTGGTCACATGCATGGTGAGTGGCTATTTTTCTGGAATGCCCCTTGGATGACCCCACGTGATCTGGTGGGAGTAAGAATGCTCTCTATGTCGATGGCACCCACACCCACAGTACCTGGCACAATCCGCGTGTGGCAATAAATCACCTTAGAAGTATTGAGGACGTGTGTTCCCATTCCCTGGTCTGATTGTGTCCTAACCTCACCTAGAAATGGAGACAGCCTTTGAGATCTTCATTCCCTAGGGTCCGGATTGCCTCAGGTTTATTCCAAACACCTGCCTAGGCACCAGCTTCCTGTAAGATTTTTTTTTTTTAAGATTTATTTATTTACTAAAAGAGCAGAGTTACAGAGAGGCAGAGAGAGAAAGAAATCTTCCATCTGCTGGTTCACTCCCCAAATGGCTTCAACAGCCAAAGCTGGACCAATCCGAAGCCAGGAGCCAGGAGCTTCTTCTGGGTCTCTCATGTGGGTGCAGGGGCCCAAGGACTTGGGCCATCTTCTACTGCTTTCCCAGGCCATAGCAGAGAGCTGGATAGGAAGTAGAGCAGCCGGGACTTGAACTGGAGCCCATATGGAATGTCGGAGCTTCAGGCCAGGGCGTTAACCCACTGCACCACAGGGCCAGCCCCACATTTATATTGTTAGATGTTTTGAGTAATCTAGAGATTATTTAAAGTACATGACATAATGAGGGTAGGTTATATGCAAATTACATACCTTTATACAAAGGACTTGAGCACCCAGAGTTTGGTGTCCATGAGGGTCCTGGGACCACTCCTCCCAGGAGACTGAGAATGACTGTACTCTGTGCAGCTTCACCCCAGCCCTGCACGGGGCCAGGCAGGATCTCACTTTCCAAATGGAGATTTGAAAAGGTTAAGAAACCCTTTCATGGGGCTGGGATTGTGGCACAGTGGGATAGGTCTCTGCTTGTGGCACCAGTGTCCCATATCCAAATGCAGGTTCAAGTCCTGGCTGCTCTTCCCATCCAGCTTCCTGCTCATGCATGTAGGAAGTAGCACCTCCCCCCTCCCCGCTATTCAAATAAAAATAAGTCCAAAATTTTTTAAAATAAATGAGATGGCAAATTTTTAGTGGATTTGACTGGACTTTTAATACTAAATGTCATACTGAAGCTATAGGGATGCAATACCTAAGCATGCGAGGGGAAAGAGAAAGCTAACAGAAATTGGTTACAAGTCTTACATGGAAAAGCAATGACAATCACGTCTCATTAAGGATCCCAGAATGGAGATTTTACAGTAAACTGGCTATGATTCTGTTTCTTTAACTCAAGTCCTCGGAAGGGCAGCACAACACAGGGTTAGAAGGTCTGGAGTCAGGACAGACTTGAGCAAGATTGCAAACCATGTCCACATGATCCTGAACAGATTTCTACTCTTTTCTAATATTTATTTGAATGGCAGAGTGACAAAGAGGGGGAGGAGAGACAGAGAGATCTTCCATCTGCTGTTTCATTCCCCAGATACCTACAAAAACTAGGCCAGGCTGAAGCCAGGAGCCAGGGACTCCATCTGGGTCTCCCATGTGGGTGCGGGGACCCAAGTACATGAGCCATCACCTGCTGCCTCCCAGGGTGCACATTAATCAAAGCTGAAATCAGAAGCAGAGCCAAGACCCAAACCCAGGCACTCTGATACGGGATGCAAGCATTCCAAGTGGCATCTTAACCACCATGCCAAATGCCAGTCCCCCTTTTCTGGTTTGTATCACCTGTGCCCTCTCCCTGGAGACCCTCTCCAGCCTTGGGGACCAGTTTCTGCTTCAGGGACTTGGAGGTGGGGCAGGGCTTTGGTCAGTCTTTCCTTCCTCCAATTGCTGCAGTTAGTGGGGGTGGGGGGAGTGTGGGTGGCGTTGCGTGCACCTGTCTGGTGCTGAGTGAAGGGGACCCAGATTGGCTCTGAGATGCTCCTCCCTTCCTTTTGCTGGGTCTCATTTCTGGGTGCTGGGGTTTGGCAGGGATGAGAGAGAGAGAAGCCCCTTTCTGGTAGGGACAGCTGCTGCTTGTGTGTGGCTTGTGTCTGGATATTGGTTGCTTGTGATGGGAGGTTCAGCTCAGCCCCTGTTGGGACTCCTTGCTATTGGGGTTCCCTTTGCTTGGCTGGAGCCCTCTTAGGCGAATTTACCCATGGGGCACAACTGACTGTGCCAATGCCAACCCCTCTCTCTACCCCAGATCTCTTTTTGATTTTCTCCTCTATGAACTTCAGGAGTCATGGGCAGAGGCAAGTTCACTGCCTGAGCTCACGTCTGCTCAGGGCATGAGGTGGCAGTCTGCGCTCACATTCTCTTGGAGTGCCCCTTTCCCTCGGCTTTGCAGGTGTGTTAATTACCTATTGTCACCTAAGAAATGAACGCCCAAACCTAGTGGCTTCAGACAGTAAACATGTGTAAAGTCAGACTTTCCTTAGGTCAGGACTTAGGAAGCGGTTTAGCTGGCTGGCTCTGGCTCAGCAGTCAGTGTTTGCTGAGTTGCTGGCACCTGGAGGCTTGATTGCGGCTGCAAGACCCACTCCCAAGCTCAGCCCATGGCCCTTGACAGCAAACCTCAGCTTTTCACAACCTGCAGGTGGGGCTGCTCACAACACGGTAATTGGCTTTCCCTGAGAGAAGTGATCGAGGAAAGAGAACCAGGATGGCTCATCCTCAGGACTAATACACCCCCTGGGGCCAGCGGTGTGGTGCAGGGGGTTAAACTGCTGCCTATGACGTTGGCGTCTCCTATGAGCACCAGTTCAAGTCCTGGCTCCTCCACTTCTGATCCAGATTCCAGCTAATGCACCTGGGAAAGCAGCGGCAGAAGATGGCCCAAGTGCTTAGGCTCCTGCACCCACGTGGGAGACCTGGATGGAGTTCCTGGCTCCCAGTTTGGGGCTGGCCTAGCCTCAGATATTATAGCCATTTGGGGAGTGAACTAATTAATAAAATATCTGTGTGTGTCTCTCCCTCTGCAACTCTGCCTTTCAAATAGATAAATAAATAAATCTTTTTCCCACTTTTTAAAAAAGATTCATTTATTTTTTGAAAGGCAGAGTTACAGAGAGACAGTAAGAGACAGAGAGAAAGAGAGGTCTTCCATCCACTGATTCACTCCTCAAATGGCTACAACAGCCAGAGTTGGGCCAATCTTAAGCCAGGAGCTTCTTCTGGGTCTCCCACGTGAGTGCAGGTGCCCAAACTCTTGCTCCATCTTCTGCTGCTTTCCCAGGCATGTTAGCAGGGGGCTGAGCTGGAAGTGGAGCAGATGGAACTCGAACAGGCACCCATATAGAATGTTGGCGCTGCAAGCAGTGGCTTTACCCACTATGCCACAACGCTGGCCCCATAAATAAATCTTAAAAGAAAAAAAAAAAGAAGCAACCTACCCCTTCTTCTAAAGTATTCTACTGGCCACATGGACTAAACCTGAGACCATGTGGGAAAGATCTACACAAGGTTAGCAGGATGCAGGGATTGGGGACCATTTGGAGGCTGGCTATCATAGCAGACAAGGGACATCCTCTTTACTGAACACTGATCCACTAATGCATTTACCCCACCCTGATGCTCAGTAGCTTCTCATGTTTTTTTTTTTTTTAAGATTTTATTTATTTGTTTATTTGAAAGGCAGAGTTACAGAGAGGCAGAGGCAGAGGCAGAGAGAGAGAGAGAGGTCTTCCATCTGCTGGTTCACTCCCCAGATGACCACAATGGCTGGAACTTTGCTGATCTGAAGCCAGGAGCTTATTCTGGGTCTCCTACACAAGTACGGGGGCCCAAGCACTTGGGCCATCTTCTACTGCTTTCCCAGGCCATAGCAGAGAGCTGGATCAGAAGTGGAGTAGCCAGGTCTCGAACTGGCACCCATATGGGATGCTGGCACTGCAAGGTGGCAACTTTACCTGCTATGCCACCACATCGGCTCTCTCATGTTTTTTAAAGATTTTATTTATTTATTTGTAAGTCAGTTACAGAAAGAGGGAAAGACAGAGAGAGAGAGAAAGAGAGATCTTCCATCCACTGGTTCACTCCACAGATGGCCACAAAGGTTAGCACTGGGCCAGGCTAAAGCCAAGAATTAACTACCAGAAATCCCATCTGGCTAAGGGGATAGTTGGGGTCTGAGAGCTTGTTCTCTGTTTCGATGCCCAACAGACACATAAGCCTAGAATTACCAAAATGAAACTACCAATCTTTTCTCTGAAATATGTATCTCTCAAAATTTCCCCTCTGTGTATTATGTACTATGTTCCAATTCCATCTTTCCAGTTGCTGTGACCAAAAATCTTAACATAAC